TTATTATTATTATTATTACTAAGTATCATTATTTATTATCATCACCATAATCATAATCATCATCATTATTATTACCATAATCATTATCATTATCATTACAGGGATAACTGCATGAAAATAACAAGAGAAGTGTATTGAAATAGAAATAGTTGCATGAAGATAACGAAAGAATTGTAAAAAGCATTAAGATAAAGATAAGGAACATAAATAACTTCTGCTCTCGGCATTTGTCATTATTCTCTTGGCAAATATTTTGTACTGCCCTAAGCCTTAATGTTTCAATCATAATTCTTCTGGCACTTTTGTAGTTATTTCTTCCTGAAAATAGTAATGAAATTATGGTTAGTATCAGAAATAATAAAAAAGAAAATAAATGGTTAAGAGATAATGGCAATACATTTCTTTTTTACATCAGAAAATCGTTTTTGAAGAATTTAGCAAAGAAAAAGAAAATTGATTGAATAATTTAGGAAGTTTCATTAATATTGAAAGGCACTTTCATTTTATAAACCTAAGCTATAAATAATTAAATGTAAATGATAGGAAAGAATTGCTGTGCCATTAAATAAGGATCTTTTTTTTCCCCTTAGAAAAAAAATACTTCAAGTTTGCACACTCTCATACATCCGTGGACAGTTCATGTTCTTCTTAAAAAGCTGCAGAGTTGCAATATTTGATAAAGGAAGTTCTAAAAATTAATTTAATTAATGAAATCCTTCGTTCCATTGAAAAATTAACTTTAACATTTTAAAATTTTAGTCCCAACAGAAATAATTATAGATGGCAGTGCAAACGACCATAATCTAACATTGATAATCCAAAATTCAAGAAAGTACCATACCAAACCAAAGGACGAAAGAAAAACCGAAAATAAAGCGGAGTCAAATCAATTGAAACTCATAAAAGTTTTAGTATTCCTAAAAAAAAGAACCACGTGAGCCTTATATGCCGTGAAAGAAGAAATGCTCGAGTCAAGTTATGCAGAGAGACATGGCTGAACTACTAAACTAGGAATCAGATAGAGCCAAAGGATACTTCATGGAATTTTTGTCTTTTTTTTGGTATTTTAAACCCCAAAGGAAAAATGCTCTTTGGCCACGTAGATAACCCGCCTGTGAAATACCAATACATTTCCATTCATCATATACATCAGAAACGTCTATGAGAAAAGGCAGACAGATTGTCTTATGCTTGTGACGCTCCATTTTTCAAATTCTGGTGAAAAAAGACGCTGAAACGCCAATGACATCATACACTACGTGATCTATTTTCTAAAAACCTTAGGTGAAAAAGATATTTATCATTGTGGTGAAGACTTTCATTGTTTATTTCAATCATAATACAAATTCTACAAATCATTGACACTTGGGAAATGAGTGAACAAACAATGAAAATAACAGAACTAAACATAGTAAATATACGATGTATTCCTAGGAATGGGATTTTATTTCATGCTGTTTGCAATATTTGGCTGGAAAAAAAAAAATGTTATACAGGTTCCTACAAGATTCCAAAAACGTTTAGCAATGAAATGATATAAATCATCTTGAAAAAGAATGTAAAAAAAACGAAAAAAATTAATAAATAAATATTTTTAAAAAAGAGAAACTAGAGGTTAACAGTCATAACGGCAAAGGAACAATTTTTTCTTTCTTTCGCTCAAGATATCTTTGTCGAATTTCTTCAATTTTTTCCGAATCATTCCGATGAGCTAATACCATTTTGATTATTTGCAGCCTGGAAAAAAAAAGATTTCTTTAGGGAGCATAACAACAAATACTTCAGAATTTTATAACAAAACCGAATAGTTTGAGATGCGATTCCAGTTAAGTAACATAGGACTTAATTTCTTAACTAGCACTTTATCTCGCCGGAAATTCGAAAAAGACTACTGAACTAACCTTTCTTCTTTAGTTTTCTCCTTCACAGTTCTTTTCCTTGGTTCATCATTTCCTTCTCCTTCGATTTCAGGCTTCTTGTATTCCCTTTTTTCCACAGAGTGGTGTTCATGAAGTTTTTTGTGATGTCTTGCAGAACTTTTTTCTTTATGTGACTCAGAACTGAAATCAAACACATTATAATCCGCTTAAAACAATGAAGTTTCAAGGGACAAAAGAGCAAATTAGCCTAGCCTACAATACTTCACCTTTTTTCCTGCCGTCTTCCTCCATGGTTGTGTTCTCTAGCACGTTTCTGTCTCTCTATTTGCTTTTCCCGCCCCTTTGATAACTCCTCATCACTGCTGCTAGTTGCTGCCAGATGTTCCGGAGATGGCGTGAAGCGCCGTCGAATTTGTTCCGCCTTTGTTGGTTTTTTCACTTGCGGCTTCTGAAAACGGATAAGACTTTCAACTAAGTAAGCATCATGCAGAACCCCGACACAGTTTTTTGGAAACAATAAAGTCTTTTCAAAAAGAACAGATGTTAATAAACATTTGGTAAAGTTCACATTTGAAATATGAATAGAAGACGTGTTATTTCTTTTGAATTATGCTGGCTTCTTTTTTAAAAGATAGATTTTTTGTGAAGTGCCCTATCGTGTTAATATGGAGAACACTTGAAGGAAACTAAAACAGACCAAAATATTTAAACCAGGCTTCAAGTCTACTGATATTGCATTATTGAACTCTGGCTCCTCTTCTGAATCATCAGAACATATGGATTTTTTCACTGACTTATCAGTAGATAATTCCAGGAATCTATCATCAGTACTGCTGTCTTTCCGCAAAAAAGAGAGTTTTTTAGCATGCTCAGCAGGATCAATCACTGTCTGTTGCAGATCCATTGGGTTAATAGTCTAAAATATCTTTTATAATTTTCTTCCTTTTTAATAATCTTTTTTAATAATTTATAAAAACACACATCACGCTGAAATTAATTCCTAGTTCCTGTTACTTTCCTGTTAGAAAAGTTCAAGTTTAAAGAAAAAAAATTCGTCCCATTTTCCATGCTCGATTAAACAGTGAATCGAAAATGTTAATGATAAATGAAAAGTTGATATGATCACATATTTTACGAAGTTTCGAAATTTTTCGAAATTCCTCGCACTACTCAATTAATCAAATTTGATCATAAACCTCCTGCTTTATATCCTTTCCTTCTATTTTAATTGTACCACTCTCTCCAACAATATCATCCAACAGAGTCCTATAAAAGCCACCTTTCCATAGGCCACTCTTTTGCTTTTCCACTGCTGTCAACTCTAGAAAAACCAAATCCGGTTTGGTTGAGAATTTTTAAATCACAAATATCCCGTATCTTGATAATGAGAAGATTGAATAATTAAACCAATAATTCTTGTCTAGCTGTGTCGTTCTATTCCAGCATTAAGATATGATTGACATAATATGATGAGAATTCGGTGATCATGATAGCCTTAATGTAACGAGAAGGAAATGAAATTTCTTTTTTTTTTCACAGAAAATGAAAATGAACCAACCATCAAGCCGATTGTCAACTTTTTCTTGTAAGCGGAAATTTTCCATTTCTGCTAGCTGTTTTTTATATGCACTCGTAACGAATTTCTAGAAAAAACCAATTAAAGGCGACAAACCAATAAATTAAAACAAGGTTATATTCAAATTGCAGCATACCTCCTTATCATCAAATTGTCCAGCTTCTGCCTCACGTTCTTTTTGTTGTTTACGCTCTTCTCGACTTTGCTGCGCAAGTAAACGCTTTTTGTGTGCTTCCAAAATTTGCTCCGCATATTTTGACTAAAATTGGTGTTTTTAATGTAATTGTACAGTAGATTGTTTTGAGACAACTAATCACTGCAAATCAAGAAATAAAGGTGAAGGGATCAAACTATTCATCACTATTGAATTTAATCTTCTGCAGAGAGCTCTTATTTCAACAGTAGTTCAGAATAAATAAACGGTTTAAAATTGAATGATTAAATCATATCGTCTTGTAGTTTTCTTTTCGAGAAATTCGAAAAAGAATTTTCTTTTCCTAATGCAAACACTATTTTTACCAATACCAGTTAAGCTATAATAGATTAAAGGAAAAAAAAGACGGAAAAATGAAAAATTAAGAAGTTTTTTAACAAAGAAACTTGTTTTACTTCAAAATAATTTCACACCAAATGAATTGCAAAATTGTACTTCAAATGCGCAAGATGTAAGTAGCAGTTCACATTAGAAAACTATACAAATCTGCTAATGAAGCGCATTTACGGTGTTAACGTTGCACCGCGCAAAATAGTTTCACGCAAAATTGTTTAAACAAAATATGTGTTTACTAAATTTTGTATTTTAACTTTAGAATAATTATGCAACTTCAAGAAATGTGCTTTCAACCGTGAAGAAAAGAAGGACTACGTCTTCAACCATTAAAAAAGAACTGTGTCTTCAAACCATGAAAAAAAGTCATGTGTACCTTCCGTTCCTTGTCTGCAGCTTTAACTTCTGCAATTTTTTCATTTTTCTTCGCTTGTAATTCTTCGTATACATTATCATAATCAAAAATTGTTGGATCTTCAGCAAGGGCTTTTTCGTGCTCACGCTTTGCTTGCATTTTTGCACGCACTGTCGATGAAGTGACCTCACTCGATGATGTGGTCTGTAAATGAATATAGTAGTGACGTAATACAGAATTGATGATTGAAATTCAGATTTCATTTTTGATAGCAATTACCGGCATTAGATAAGGTTCCTGAAACTGAAAGTACCTCAATCCCATCATCGTCGTCACTCGCAAATACAGCAGCAACTGGTTTAACAGTTGATTTCAAATGTTCAGATGGCTTCTTTAAAATCAAACCATACCTAAACAGAACGGTTCTGAATTTCGAAATCAGTAAACGAAAAATGCTTCGTAGCAAAAAATATTACTTTTTGAATTTTGTGGTCGACATCCTCGACAAGCAATAAATCAACACTGGTTCGCAACAACGGAGAACGTTCTGCCTTATCAATATGTATAGATTTTGGACCTTTTTCTGGAAAAAACAATTCCAATCAAGTTCTCTTATATTGTTCTGCAGCACTAACTATCCTACCATTTGACTAATCCATCTAATCTGTTGCAGCTTACCAAATGCTGTAAATTATTGTTCTTTATAAGTATAAAGCTTTTCAAGCGAATTTCGAATATAAATCCTTAATTAAAAAGAACATTAAACCATGAAACCGTTTATCGGAATATGAAAATATAAATAAAACGAGAGAAATCGTAAAACAAATTGCAGCAATATTGACTGAAGCGAAACTCATTACTAAAAGAGATATCACATGGTGTGTACCAACAGTATAAGTTACAAGTAGTAATACAAAAGCATAAAAACCTTAGCACTATGCGCAAGAAATCTGCTCTCATTGAACGATGTTTCACTTTCAATAATTGACTCATTTTTCGAAATTTCTTAGACTTGAGAACATAAAAAATTCTTTGCAAAAACTCAAAACAAGTAAAGAATAGATATCAGCATATAAATCAAGTTGAAGGAGGAAGGACCGGAAACAGAAACAGTAACAGTAACATAGAAAATTCAAACAATAATTTACAAACTGACCACTACTTTAATCAAAGAATCGATTTAGAACGAACCTACGACATGCAACAGAATACATGGTGATATTTAAAGTTACAAGGATTTAAAAGCATGCCAATGATTAAGAGTAGTACACTTCAGACTACCTAACATTAAAATACAACGGCCTAAAAAATAAAAGGCGTAAGTGGCTTGCCTTAAGCTAATATGAACTAATAATCTGAACTCTTGCTGCTTTCTTTTCCCAATCACTATTACAAATACTCGCCAATAATAAACGAAAACAAATAAGAAAGTGCAACATGCAGCAATTATTTTTAACAGGCTGTCTCTTAATCACAAGGTACAGCAAGAACGAATATCTTTATGAAAATTACACTTGAGCAAATTTTTAGCCGAAGAGTTTGTAAAATTACATTTCTGGAAAGCAAAAGAATTCCTAAAACCACTGGATATATTATTCGAGACCAAAATAAGTATTAACTCCCTTTACAAAAGTGACAATTAATGGCTGCCATGCAACCAGATATCGAATCCAATCTAACAATTGCCCATAGAACAGATGAGGTTTCTGCCACCTATAAAAAAATTACGATGGGTTTAATTATGATCTCAAAGTTCAGCATAAAAAAAGTAAAATTAAAAGAGATTTTCGGCCGGACTTGAATAGCTCCAATGACAGAACTTACGGATGACTAAACATCCTTTTAAGATCGACTTTCTCTTTGCAGTAGGGACATGTCTGTTGTTTACCAATAACACACCAACCGCGGATGCAAAATTCATGAAATAAATGTCCACATGACAAACGATATGTTGATTCGTAGTCAGTTTCTGTATCGTCAATCTCAAGATGATTCCCGCACACTGCGCAAACATCCGCTTCAAGAATTCTCTTGGGCAAGCCTTCCTCCGTGTAATACTGTAAAATGGAAGTTTTTTTTAAAATTATTGTATCGTTTTCTTAAATCATTGTATAAAGAAAAGAAGGAAAAGAAACAAACTCCAATTTTGGATGCAATACGATCCGTACATATATGTGCGAAATCACGACCCAGTACTCCATAATATAAGCCATAAAACAAAAGCAGTAAACCAGCATCCATTAAGAATCGTGCTCTTATGGCGAATATATGATTCAATCCCAGTAAAGTGAACATGATAAAAACATATCCCGCTATTCCGAGAACATAACTCAGTTTATGTAAAAATAAGAACCATTTATAAACCAGTCTGAAAGAACAACACACAACATATCCATAGATATCCTGCCATCAAAATTATGACCACAGATATTGTTGAAAAAGAATAAAGTTTTGTTGCAAATCCTCATATACCTCATATTTCAGTACGCGATGTAGGTTTCGTAAAGAAGGAAAAATTTTTTCCGGACTTGAAACAGCCCATAGAATATGCAACAAAGAAATCAACACTAAAAAAAAAAAATAAAAGCTCATGTGGGAAAAATTAAAAGTACAACTAACCTTGGTGTTTTTCCTGATATTTGTGGACGAGTAGCTCTGTACCAAATCACAGTTGAAAGTACGGAATATACAATCCACGTTATCAAAAATCTCCACCAGTATCTCTGGACACATATAAATACAGGAATTAACCACATGCCCAGAAGTGTACATAGCTAAAAGAGTTCTTATCACGGATCAAAAAAAGCTAGCAGAAATCAAATATACAGATTAATAAAAAGACATATAAAGTCGTTTATTTTAGGATTAATACATTCGAGAAATTTACTATTATTGTGCAATAATATCCTTCTGATTCCCCAAACCAATGATATTTCAGACAAGTAATACATCAAATGGATGAAATGAGACTTGTAGACTCATTAGACTCCATCAAGAAACCCACTAGTGCCATGTGCTCATGGCAATGAACGTTGAAACTCAGTTTGGAAAAAGTAGCAGAAAGTGTTCAATTATCTACTAAAGATAGTTATAGCAGTACAGCACAAGTGTTCGCAAATTAGACACTTCAATTATCTACTAAAGACTGAAAGGCAATAAACTAGCTAGTACGATTCTAAAAACAAACCTGATAAGATTTGAAGTGCCTTTTTTTCCACTGTACCAGTGCAATTTGAGCTACAACCAATGTTACTATCAATATCAAAAGGATCTCCATATGCATTTGTTCATGTCCTCGATGTTTTTCGTGCAGTTTTGTGTGCTCAATTCTCCACTGCTCTTCTTCATTCAATTCCTCAAACTGAAAATTTAAGCCATTTGTAAATTTTTTGCTAAAACTTTTACCAGCAAAGTATGATTTTTAAGTAGCTGAATGTATTAAAAGGCAAAGTACTAGTCAAAAGACTCCAGCATTTTTGATGCTGATATTCCCCATCTGAATTTACTACCCCAATTAATAGTTCATTCTGCAAGTTATGAAAACATCACAAGACGTACATCTTAGAATATCAGAGGTTTATCACTTCAAATCATCTCAGTGAACTTTGAAAGAAACAGTATAAGTGAATCAATTATATCAATTACCATTATATTTTTCACTTGTGACTTTTAACTGGTCTACTTCTTCGGTGGAAAGGTCAATAAATAATTCAGCATATGCATGATGAAGGTAGGTGAAATATTAATAACTGCTGGGTGGGGACCGTAATGCGTTAATTCATTTGGAAATTGGAAATTTGGAAACTAATGTGTAATATCATTCAAAGGAGATTACTTTAGCAGTACCAAAACGTACCATACAAAACAGTACATTACAGTTACAATACGGATATTAAAATACACTCTAGTTGAATAGAACTGAGATGAAGGAGATGAGGAAATAAGCCTACTGAGATTTCATTCTGTAATCGGACAGCTCCTTGAAATTGTTGCGTATTGTGTCCCTGCTGCATCCTCACGTTGAAATACCACCTTGCTATGCAATCGAACTGAAAGCACATCTGACTTGTTACTTGAAAGGAGAACACAGTTTAGTCAGCAGTCATACCTATTAATACTGTTCGTAAAGTATTTCATTCTTCAATAATATATAATTAAACAAAATTTTTAGTGTTTAACATTTATTATTGTAAAAATAGAACGTTAACTAACGGTTGACATGCATCGCAATAATTACAAAGCAAATTGTATAAATTAATACAACTCATACTCTAAATTTTATTAAAAAATATCCGGACACTCCATTCAATAATATATAATTAAACAATTTTTAGTATTTAACATTTATTGTTGTAGAAATAGAATGGTATATTTCGAAGAGCTTTAATTAAAATCTTATTTAATTGCACTACCTGCCTTACAAGTCCTTCAGATTCCTTGTTCCTTCAGATAACCATCCAATCCGGTAGCCAGGCACCAACATGCGGAAGAACAGCAAAAATCCGGAAATTTTCAAAAGAAACGGTTTGTAACACAGAGAAAATGGTCGCATTAGAACATCACGTAACAGAAAAGGGCTAGAGGAGTGCACGTCATACTTGATGTTGCGTTAAGGATGACGTATATTCTTCTAGCTCACATTTATATTGTTCTTGATTTTTGATGTATTTTGTTGTATGGAATGTTTTAAGGCTAATATTTCTGTATCTCTTCATTTCATTTTGTTTTATATCAAAATCAAGGAGTAGATGGCGATCAGATTTATCAAATTTATGGTTGAATTTACTTTCAGACATTGATAGCCCGATATCCTTTAATCTTTGATCTTTGACTTTTAATAAAGTAAAAACAAGAAGAAAACTATTCTTGGTATTTTTCCAGGTTTTCTGATTAGCTCTTGTGAGAGATAGCTTACTCAATAATAACAGCATTATTGTCCCCTCTCTTCTCGATAATTATTTCGCTAACACTGGACAATGGTAGGTGTCACTCACACTGGAAGTCATTCCTCCTCTTCGAAGGAAGATGGCAAGAAAGATGACGATACGGCAAGGTATACATATTCTTTCAGTTTAATTTTTTGTATATATTCTTTCAGTCTCATATTCGTTCTCTATATGCAGTAGCTTCTGGTTATCTTAAAAAATTCTTGCGGTAGAGAGAGATACCTTCGCTGTAAAATACTTCTACGGTCGCACTGTAGTATGACACTTGTTCTAATCCATTATAGTAATTATAGGAGTTTGTAAAATTGCTTATGGACTTCAAATATAGAGATGTCAACCAGTTGAATGAGAGTTTTTAATGTTTTTTTGAGCGAATTTAATGACCAAAAGATAACTTACAGATTCGATTGTAACATATGTTTGGATGTAGCACGAGATGCCGTAGTCTCAATGTGTGGTCATTTGTTCTGTTGGCCATGTCTTCATCAGTGGCTTGATACACGTCCTAATAGGCAGCTCTGTCCCGTTTGCAAATCTGCCATTAGCAGAGAGAAGGTAAATTTTATTAGTATGACATTATTATGAGAAAATACAGTCGTTAACTAGCGTCTAGTCAAATTATAAATTAAGTGTGGCATTATAAACAGGAAGTGATCCTTTGAAACTTTTACATATCTAAAACAGGTTATACCGCTCTATGGAAGAGGTGGTAATGATACAGACCCACGAGATAAAGTCCCACCGCGTCCAAAAGGTCAACGAACCGAAATGCCTCAGGCAAGTCCTCATTATTTTCATATTTTTGACAACCATGTGCAAAGAATGCATGCAAGAAGTTTCTGCGATTATTCTCAAAGCACTACTGTATGTGGAGTGTCCTTAATTTTTGAAGGTTTGAGCTTAAAGGATCTCATTAATTATTTACGAGATCCTGAAGACACATTTGAACAGTGTGATGTAGACTTGGTCGAGAAGCAACACTTTTTTTCTATTTTTAGAGCTCTTTTCAAGGATTCCCGGGCTTCCAGTGGGGCGGTGAAAATGGTGGTGGAGGTGTGCAGTTCTCAATGGGTATCGGAGTATTCCCTATCTCGTTTTTCGCGTCATTCTTCAATAGTGGCTTTGGAGAACGACGTCCAGAAGCGCGTTAGTTTTTCCGCCCTATCTAGTTATTGATAAAATTATACGATTCCCTTCGTTGAATTCTTTTCTCTGATGTAATGCATGCAGTGTCCTTAATTTCTGATGACTTGAACTTAATAGATATGTCTTCGTATATATACATAAAAATATATACATAAAATATACAAAGTATTCATTTAGGGAAAACGTTTTTGTATATCTTTGTATTTTTTTTTTTAATTTTCAGCGGCAGCGGGCACGAGACAAGCGGAAGAAGAGCAGTTTCTATCAAACCTTTTTATATATCTTGGTATATTTTTTGTCGTTTGGCTTCTAGTTCTATAAATATCACTTTCGAATAGAATATGAATCATCCAGAAGTGCTGAAATATTTTAACTTCGTTTACTTTTTTCTTCTCGCTTCCTTTTTATTCTATGTCACCCTAAGCATACTGATGCTTAACTGTTTATAAGATTACCCCTACTGACGTCGTGCTCTTAGCCCTATTTTGTAAATTGAATTATATGTGAAATGTTTGGATAACCCCGAGCTTCAAGAACTTTTTTTTACTGAAAAGGATTTGATTTCTTAGACAGATTGAAGTACCAATTTTAATAGTCACTTGCAGTCATCTAATTTGTACAATTTTATGAGCAGTTTAATCGCGGACCTGCTCTTAACTGTGTTAGTTGCTTGTGTCGAAATTATTTATGCTTGGAAACTTTGTTTTGATTATACATTTCGAGCTGCTTTCATTCATTAGTTTGTGCAAATCGATCCGAGAATTGATTTTACCTAGTCTATTCCATCATTACAATGACCATACATATCGTTTCTAGCAGAATTGCGTTTTTAGTAGCGGCTTCTTTGCCAAATGTTGATCTTTACTCTTTGCTATGAATATAAAAAAAGAAAGTAAAGACGATTTAACAGCACCTAATAGCTCATCAAATTGTGAAGTGCAGTACTTCAAGCAAAATCATCAGCATATTTGAATTTTAATAAATATTACTAGTAAAAACAAGAACTATGGGTATATCTATGCTTCTATTATATGTTTTGCCGGGAAATTTTAGTTTGCGCATCAAAAGTCTCAGAGGAGCTAATGACAGAAGCACTAGTCACATCGGCATATCTTTTATGGTGGTATCATAATTTAGTACTTTTTAAACATTGCAGAATCACATGCTGACAAATCCATTATTCGAATCACCAATATTTTTGCTTTCTCCCGAATTCCATTCAATTATGCTCAGCGATGTGAGTAGCATTGCCAGACTCATCATGCGACTCTCGGTAAAAGCGCTACGCCAGCGTATGATCTTGGATGATTGATTGATACACTAAGATGAGTCCAGGGTTGTTGTCCCAGCAATGAAACAGTTAAAACTTCAATTGGACTCAAATTTGATGTGCCTAAATTCCATAATTTGAAATGGAAATTGACGGGAAAAGTTTAAACTCAACAATATAAATCTAAATCTCTAAGAGGTAACTCCCTTGCGAGAACTTTACTTCCACTACTCCTTGTTTCACTGCGTGTCAACTCTTCATTAGTAAGGAAAAACTTTTCATGTGGAGAATCACACATAATATTGAAAAGAAAAGAATCAGCTAGCCTCTGATCGTGAATTAATTTGAATCCAGAGGAACGACACTTGCATTGCGACGGCATACATTCATTCCCGGCAAAAGTCTCCAGGAGTCGTAATTTAGGATCTGTAGAATGAAAATGGTTGTTTAAAAGAATTCGGTGTTTCTCTGCTAAAAGTTATCTCGCTTAGAGAATAAAGTAGTCAATATGTAGCTAAATTTTCTAAACTTCTAATTATTTGATTTCATTGAAAAAAGGGCAAACCTCAGCTGTCTCTCTAGCTACCGGACCAACATATTCTCATAACAGCAACAAGGCGATCACCAATAACTATAACACCTACACCAGAATGCTTGGATGCTAAAGTTTCCATCTGCTCTTCTTGGTTCATAAACTTCAACTGTGTCCAAAGAGTTCCAAGTGTCGTCATCATAACCATCCACAACATAAACCATACCACCAAGCGCTGTGACACCAACTGATGAACGAGGAACAGTCATCGATGGAAGAGGTATCCACTGACCTAGATTTGAAGAAGTTCCCAAAAGCAAATTTTTATATCACCTTTTTTATGTTTCACGTGGGAATCAAACAAACAAAGATGTATTTGAAAATAAAAACAATAAAGACAAGGGTCAAACGCCTCAGAAGAGCTCCGTCCCGTTCTTATTAGTGTGTACATCATAGACATCTACAGACTTTACATTCAATGATCCGTTAAATCCACCAATCACATAAATGAAATCTTCCAAATTCTCCGATACAATAACGATAACGATGTTGTAGCAAATCTCTTACTACAACATTCAATTCAAATTGCATCGTTTAATCAACTTTCTCATGCTTTTACATTCCAGTTTATGAATTTCCGCGGTATCCATCGTAAGACATTCAGATTGACCACATCAACACTGGTAATACCTTAGGTGCTTGACCACCAATGAGCATTATAAGCTAAAATAGCTGCTTATTATCATTTTGTTGTTCTGTTTTTAAACGTAACATATTAATTAAGGCAAGCTTTATTTATAACACTGAAATTACCTTCGATGGTTGGATTGGCTACCGCGGGCAGTTACGCTGATTTTAAATGATAACGGTAAGCTTGTAGAAGATAATCTTTCCATTCTGAACTCTGTTGAACCAAAATGTTCGGATCAACCTTTTAAAAATTTCTTTCGAAAATAGAGAGCGAAAATATGAAGAAAAGAGTAAAATTTAAACGTCAAAATATTTAGTACAAGATTTTAATACACTTATTTTAATAGCGTTTGAAATGGAAACTTATTGCATAGAATGGGAAAAATTGTTTGCAATCGGATTTTTGTCAAACTAAGCTGTTTACATCAACCTTCTGGAATTTTGAAGAGCTAATGTCGACAACAATAACAGTGAGGACGAGACACTGATTAGTTTTAAAGACCAGTAAATAATCATCACTTTATCAGTAAGATAATCACGCGGCAGTAAAGGTAAGCGATCTCTGTGATTTAAGAGATGATGATTTACCTATCGCACAACTGCTTTACAAACCTGAAATCTGTATCATTTTTAATTTGATTTTTGATTTAAGGAATTTGCTTAATGAAACTGACATAAGTCAACTTAATTTTTTGTTAAATACTACTTGAAAAATTGTCACTCGGAAAACCATCCTCCTATCCTGGAACATCGAAATACGAAATCATATTTAGCACCTAACATATTTTTTCATTTATGTTCTTATCACAAAGCTTATCTCTACTCGCAGTTGTTGAATGATCTGACTAGATTATTTCGATCACCTGATTTTTACCGAGAGCTAAAAATTCATCACATTTTAACCACATGACTATAAGATAAATACATGTGAAATTCAAATAAGGAAAGGGAAAAAAGAATGAAAAGTCACTTCGCTTCCTTTCTAAGACAAAAAGAATAAGTGAAACTGTCTCAGAAGGTATATATCAAACTTGAAATGTGGTTGAACAAATGTGATAGCACCATATACAAGCTGTATGCAACCGTGTGTGCTACAACAAACTTTGCAATGCCAAGACAGTTCGATGAATCCAGTTGCTCTAGAAGAAATCTGGAAAACGCATCGTACACGTACGCTATCTGTAAATAAAAACTGTAAAATAAAAGATTTAAAGAAAAATGAAATTTGAGAACGAGATATACTAATAAGCAATTCTATATAAGTACACAAGATTGAAGTATGTGACCAAATGATGGAAGAATGTTAGATGTAGAAGAAAGCCACAATCATGTAAGTCGCTTCGCTTCCAGGACAAAATAGATGAACAACTGCTCAAATTCGATAAAAATATCATGTGAAAAAATGCATTGCGTTATGCCGTGTAATAACACAGCAAATTATCGAAATGAAAACTGTAATCTAAGCACAGAATAATAAACTTAGAAGAAACTTATTCTGTGATTATTACATGGAATAAATTTCGCTTGAAGAAATAATAAAAAATTCATGTAATGGAAAAGTTGGTTTAAAGCAATGATCCAGAAAACTTTGTACATATATTTTGTTTCTTTGATTGTTAGTCGACTAGAACATATGTAGTCAGTGAGTACAAGCAATGATGTTCCATCGATTCCTTTCAATTGAAGCAAATTCAGGAAAAACTTTGCAGTTGAACAAGTTATATGACAAATACAAATAAGATTTTATTGAAAATATTTGAGGTGCTCGTTAATTTCGCGGAGAATAAAGGCATATTTTCCCTAAATTTTTGAATAGATTAGTACCTTTAAGAATATGTCTTCTTGTTTTGATTCCTTCATTGCACCACTAAATATTAAGCTGAAATATGGGCATGGTGCAGCAAGTATGACTCTATGGGTCACAATTTTGACATCTCAACTTCCATCACTTTCCGCACCATCTTCTGACTTCAGTGATGCTATTAAAATCACATCACAGGAACGATCATCTCTGTAACATGCTAAGAATAAAAGTAAAGCTTTGATGGAAAGTGAACAGTTATAATTGTTGACCACTGGATGAAGAAGAACGGTTCAACATCATTATCAGCATAATCCTCTTTAGTGAAGAAAGAACAGGTTATCTGAAAGTTTAGGTGTACTGAGACAAATATGTATGGGATTTAGGCTAATCAAAAAAAAGACGTTGTAAAGATGCCAGTTTTAAAGAAATCTAATATAATGGAAGGATAAAGGATAAATATAACCAATTTTAGGAAGTTATTAAGGCCACGCAATACATTAGATGGGAAATTATCATTATTATAAGTAGTGTGGCTTTGTTTATTGTTAATATGTCGAATTGAAGATAGTGGAGAAGTGCAGAAATAAGTTTCATTCACCAATGTACCGATCGCTACTTCGGTTTTATTAAATTGAGAAAAAAATAATTTTTGTGCGCGTGTTTTTCTTTTTTTTGGATTTCCTTGCATGGATTTCCATTTAGCAGAAGCTGTAATTAACAGTAGCAATTTATGTGATTTCTGGTATTAAACTTATCTAGTTTTTTTACGGCGCTATAGTGCAGATATTCATAAATTTTCGGCTGTATTTGAATTCAGTTTTTCTGCACCTCAAATTTTCCGTTTCTTGAAATACAGAAAAAGATTTATTAACGACTATAAAATTATTTATAGAACTGGCAGACTAGACTGTTTCAACGCATTATATTGTTTGACCGGATAGATGGTTCAAAATGATTTTACAGAAACCCGATGCATTTCAGTTTATTTTTGACCAACATTATATATAAATAAGCAAATACAAAATGTATGAGAATATTTATCTATTCAAATTTAAGAAGCAAACAATATTTTCAGTAGAATTACGCTGATTAATCCTATATCAACTATTACTGTAGGAAGATCAATATTTAAATTATATGCTCACTTTTGCTCTTTAATCAAAACTTTTTTTTAACTGGAACTTAAATAGTGAAGGACAGTGCTGCAAATTACATCGGTTTTGGAAGCAATGAAATTACCAAAAAGAAAAATATTTTTCGTATCAAATATTGAACTTAGTGTCAAGGATTCAATTTCTTTTAGTTAAATCATTTTGTACCTAAAATGATTTAATTATTCCTTCCCACCGAAATGCACACTGCCTCTTTTGGGGGAAAAAAAAATGAAATCCTTAACTTTGATCAAAACAGACTTTTCATCTGTGTCAGTCCTCGTATGTGAAACGGGGAATTTTAT